GGGCGGCGGGGACCCCCGACGATGCTGCAGTGGCCACCGCCGTGCCGCCGCCACCACCACAGCCACTGCCTCCCGTCCTGCTCCCCCTCCCCGCCTGTTCGGCTGAGGACGCAGCGGGGGCAACGGCCGGGCTGGCGGTGGCGGTGACCCCCAAAGATGCTGTAGTGGCCGCCGTGCCACTGCTGCCGCCACTGGAGCCACTGCTTCCCATCCTACTCCCCCTCCCTGCCCGTTCGGCGCCGTCTGCCTTTTGTTCTCTCTCTCTCTCCTCACCTGGAGAGAGAGGGAGAGAGAAAGAGAGAGAGGAAAGAGAGAGAGAGAGAGAAAAGAGAAAGAGAGAGGAAAGAGAGAAAGAGAAAGACAGAAGAGAGAAGAGAGAGGAAAGAGAGAGAAAGAGAGGAAAGAGAAAGAGGAAAGAGAGAGAGAGAAAGAGAGAGAGAAAGAAAGAGAGAGGAAAGAGAAAGAAAAAGTGAGAGAGGAAAGAGAAAGAGAGGGAGAGAAAGAGGGAGGAAAGAGAGAAAGAAGAAAGAGAAAGAGAGGAGAGAGAGAGGAAAGAGAGAGAGAGGAAAGAGAAAGAGAGGGAGAGAAAGAGGGAGGAAAGAGAGAAAGAAGAAAGAGAGAGGAGAGAGAGAGGAAAGAGAGAGAAAGAGAGGAAAGAGAGAGAGGAAAGAGAAAGAGAGGGAGAGAAAGAGGGAGGAAAGAGAGAAAGAAGAAAGAGAAAGAGAGGAGAGAGAGAGGAAAGAGAGAGAGGAGAGAGAAAGAGAGAGGAAAGAGAAAGAGACAGAGAAAGAGAGAGGAAAGAGAGAGAGGAAAGAGAAAGAAAGAGAGAGACCCTTTTGACATCTAAAATGAAGATAACACTGCATATATCCTTTTTTACCTTTATTTTATATATATACACACACAAACACATATACATACATACATACATACATATAATATATATATTAAAGGTAAAAAAGGATATATGCAGTGTTATCTTCGTTTTAGATATCAAAAGGGTTTTGCGGCTCCCAGTGTCTTGTTTTTGGTGGGAAACGTGTCCAAGAGGCTCTTTGAGTATTTTGGGTTGCCTACCCCTGAACTAGGAGATGGTGTAGTTGAGTAGCAGGGAGGGGTGCAAAGTTCCTGCCAATTCACCTTCGCTGCAGACAACTTGCATGTGCAGTTTGCCAGCGGGTGTTTTGGCATGCTCAGCAGCAATTCCTATTGGCTTTCGAAAGCCAATAGGGGGAGTAGCACAGCTCATGCAAAAGTTGAAAAAAAAACCATCAAAAAAAGGTGCCCGAACGCCGTTCTGAGCGTTCTATGAGAAAAAAAAGCCCTGCAGATTAGTCTTCAAATATCGAAAAGGAGGACATGTAGGAGGACACTTTTTGAGGGAGGACAGAACTCACAAAAGGAGGACTGTCCTCCCTAAAGGAGGGTTGGTCACCTTACCATAGGGCATTATATTACTACATTAACCTTTTTCTCTCAATTGCCCATTCTTTATTCTGTTTCTTTGTCTTTAAAAAGATCCTCCCATTTTATTATACTTTTTTTGTCACAGATGACAGAAACTTAAATTCAAGTGCTTTTTTTTACTTCAGCAGAAAGGATATATTCTCCTTCAATACTATGAAGAAAGAAATTAATTTTATTTTCCTATTTAGATATAAATACTCCCAGATCCAACTTTATTAAAGGCTAATCATGGGATAACTCCACTGAACAGAATGAACTGTTCAGTTATAGCCAACTATGATTTTCTTCAGCTTTGCTATATGCTTCAAAAGCTTAGCTTTTATTACTCTGACACCACGTGCTTTGTTTCCCAAAGAAAAGAAGGAAGGTCTTAGACATTATACAATCCACTGAGGATGTACTGTTAGGCAAGTCCTTCTGACAGGGATGAATTTCTCATAAGAACAAGGTGGACAATCTAGCTTCACTCGCACTTGTGAAGAAAATACTACGCCCAATGTGTTGGGAGGGAGAGAAAAAAAAAGATTACAGACTAAATAATCCCACATTCACAGTATTACCAACAAAAGCTGGTCTCAACTGATATTACCAAATCTGCTTAAATGTAGGTTAGAAATTATTCTGGTACACCAGTTCCTCCTTGTGAATATAGTTTTTTCTTTTGTCAAGCATTTCTCAATTCATAAAACTGGTAAACTGGTGTCATGACTAGCATGCCCCTCAAAGCAAACTTTATGGATGGTTCTGACTTCTTAACATGAGGATGAAATGAGTTCCATGTACTTTTCTCAGCCCGCTTTGCTATGAGACAAACAAGTTTAGCTCTTTTTTTCATGTTTGATTTTTCAATTTTATGTTAAAGAAGAATCACTAGTGCCAAAAGACGGACATTGTTTAAGTTATCCATCTTATTTAGTTTTCAGAAATCCAATATATCACAGCCACACGATAAATGTAGCATAATATTCTGTAATGCAAAAGCTGAACAAAAAGCAGCTTCCTTTCTCACCCTTGTTACCCAAAATACCTTACTTTCTTTGTTTTATTCTTTTTCCTCCTGACATTTTGTTAAATCACTTGTTTCTATATATAAAACAAGGCATGCAATAATAAAACCTACACTCATCAGTTTTTAGATAACATGATTATTTTTGCACATCCACAAAATTTGTTACAGCAGTGCAACTTCCTTTCATTATTTAATCGATAGCTGTGTTTTTTCTGATGACTTTGCACCATTTTCTAACCATTAATGACTCCCTTATTTAGGGCTACTATGCATTTTGCTGAATTTTTTTAATAGCATTGTACACAGGCAAGGCAAAGAAATGCACTTTAAGACATGTCTTACTGATTTTGCCAACTGTATCTGATTGTTTGGCTCTACCTCCACTTTCTTCTAAAACAATATCCAGTTCTTAAAACCATCAGTGTGTAGATGTGCATATATACATGCATGTATGTATATGTATGTGTACACACACACACACACACACACACATTTCATAAATTTAGTGCTTCATGGCATTTCATTTACTGTAACAGGTTGCAATATTTTAGTTGCAGTAAATCACTAGTTGTCTTCCACTGCAGTACATAACTTTAAAATCCTGGATGCTTCAATACCAACTTCAATGTGTACATATGAGGGCTTATTTTACAAGGCTATATGAAGCAGATCCACCCAAAGGCACTGACTCAGTTCAAACCATGACAGCAATCTAATTTACTTGGACTCAAAAAATCACATTGTTCTTCTGATGCATTAAATATAAGCACTGAAGTGGACCTATTCAATTCATTTGGCTGCTTTGCTGTGCACACATAGAAACCCCTTTTAGCATGTTGATCAAAACTGTGAGACTGTATCTTATTAGTTGAAGTTGAAGAAAGTGCTTCCAAGGGCATTTTAACCAAGCTTTTATCAAGCTGAAGTGCTCCTCTGAAGCTCTAAAAAGCTTTATTATTTATCATGGTTTTCAAAACTACGTTTCAAAAAACTATGTCCATAGGTCTACTAGGTGTGCTGAACTTCAATTTCAGCTCTAAAAAAGTTAGTTAGAAAGAGTGGATAGTTCAGCAATTCATTTTTATTTATTTAACAAACCTTATATGGCTACCCAACACACTCATGGTGACTCCAGGCAGCTTACAGAAATAAAAATCCCAAATACAAAATAAATCTCCATATCCCTGGTGGCAACAATCAAATCAAGTACAATCAAACCAAGTATCCTGATACCTACAGACTCACTGGCAAACCCATGTCTTCAGAGCCTTTTGAAAGAGTGTCAAAGTGGAGTCTGGTCTTATTTCCGAAGGACTAATGTTCCATGGGAAGGAGCCAACACAAAGAAGGCTCTTCTGATTTACCCATTATTCATTAGTTCATTATATCATATTGACAAATGAACACCATAGTTTAAAACTTAATGCCTACCTAGGTCAATAATATACAATGAGTACAAGGAACATTTAGAATTCAAAACAAAAATAACTGGTTAAGATTTGCCTTTGATTCATGGCATAACAAAACTTATCCATAAGTGAAAATCCAGTTTTAGTCAATTCTAAATGACTGTGAGATTAATTGATTGAAAAAAAGGGGAAATGCATATTCTAATATTCCAAGGTACAGTATCATCGACTTCACATACAGTCAACAAATGGGAAGACAGCATCTCTTTGATATTTATTAAATCACACATATCTTTTTTTCAGTTCCTGGTCAGCCTGAAAAAAGATGCTGTTGCTGCTTCAGTGAACTGTGTCATTAAACAGAGTGTCATTGATACAACTCTTAAACCTGCAGTATCTCTTTTGAGGTTCACACAGAAACCTAAAAAATGATCCATATGCTTTAAAGAAAAATGGAGAGGAACACCATAAATGCCAGGTAAAAAAGATTATTAGATAAGATAACTTTTATTGTCATTTTTTTTTACTGTGGGCACAACGGCACACATCAAAAATGAAATTTAGTTACCCGCTCTCAAAGTGATTTCCAATCATTTTCTATGCCATTTTCTAACTCTAATAAAGGTAATCCTTAACTTATGTTTCACAACGGTTCAAAATTATGATGGCCTTGGAAAAAGTGTTTTACAATCTGTACTTACTCTTACAACTATTGCTCACTTTCACAGTCACGTTTGAAATTTGGGCGCTTAGCAACCAGCTCACATTTATAACCAGCTGCAATGTTTTAGTCATTTACAACCTTTCATCTATTTCTAGCAAAAATCTCCATTGGAGAAGCTGGACTTACGATCATAAAATTGGGTCTAGTCATGTGATGACTCACTTTATATCCTTTGGCTTCCAAACTTGGCACTTCCCTCCCTCAAACTTCTATGCTGCCCAATTTGCAACAATTTTTATTAAACTTTGTTGCTGAATACCCACTCTGAATTTAATAAAACCAGAGGAAAGAACAGGACAAGAAGCACAATAATTTGTTTGAAATATGAAAGCTATCCAAAACTATACCCTTTTCAGAACTCTTTGGCTATTCAACAAGGTATCAAACTTACCTAGTTCTGGAGGCAAGACTGTAAGACGGTTTCCTTGGATATGAAGTTCTTTAAGCTGTGTGAGTTCCCCAATTTCTTTTGGGAGTGATATCAAGTCATTATCCCTAAAGCTAAGCTTTACAAAAAGGAAAATATTTAAGAGTTAATCAGAGAAACAATCTGCATATACAAAATATATTTAAATAAGAGATACTGCATATGTACAACATGCTAAGCTTAGCTAGGCTTAACTTGGTTGAACTGAATATGTGGTTTATCATGTAGCATAAATACGGATTGCTCAAATTATCATTCAATGTATATATACTAGAAAATAGGTCAATTTAGTAAGGAGATTAAGTGTATTACATGATGAAGCTGTCAGGTCAATTCTCAGCTGAAAAGATGTAGATCAAGACTTGCCACAAACACAACTAGCTCTTTTCTTTTTTGCTACTTCACTCCACCCATTTTTCCCATGTATGCATAAGTACTTTCTGATTAAAAATAGACAATACAGGTGTTGATGCTAACTCCTACAAACTCCCATGACTTCTTGCAAATTGATTTGATTCTACTCAAACTAGGACTGCAAAAATAAATTGATTTCCCCCTCCCCCCAAGAATTTAGATAAATTACTTACTATCTGCAACTTTGTGAGCTTCCCAATATCTGATGGCAGGGTTTCAAAATCGTTGTCACTTAGATAGAGTGCACGCAGGGTGGCTGCAAATTAAACAGCAATATATAAACAGGGTGGCATACAACCCGACCATTTGAAGCCTGATCAATGAAAATGTGTCAGGTTTGATTAATAACCCTGACTTGGTGAAAAGCCTTTGACATACCCAAGGCTCACAATAATAACAAGCAGGTCAAACTTAGATTTACTGGCTTATGTACTATTGCTCTGCTCAGGAAAACATCTATATCCAAAAGGGCCGACATAATTAACAAATTCTACTACATTGCTCTCTGGCAGGTTGTAGCACGCCACTGCAATACTAACTTGTCAATACAGAAACTATCCAAGTTTATTACTAACCATTGTTCAAATTAGCATTCATAATCTCCCAGTTAGATTTGTGAAATAAGCTGTTAACATATCTTTTTTTAAAAAAAAAATAGACTAGGATATTATTTCTTAAATATGCAGAAGTAATTAGGGAGGCACAACTCCTCTCCCTAGATGAGGAAGGAACCCTCAAGAGAGAGAAAATGGCAAATGAAGGCAAGTTGAAATCTCCAAGAGCATTTTGACAGAATGCTTCTTGAGTCAAAATAAAATAAAACAATGTTACGAGCTAGCTAGCCCTCAAAAATTATGTGGGTATAATTTGGGTATAATTTAGGGAAAGACTGCATATACTGGTAAATAACTGGTAAGACTGCATATACTGCTTCAGCTCATTAGCACTCACTCATTAATTGGATGTATTTCTTGATTGAGGCTTGTGGAAATGTTGTCCCCCTAGTAGCAAGCATTGCTTCCCGTCTAATTAGCTAACAATTATTATTTTACAATATTTACAATATGTAGCTAATTGTCAACATGCTATTTACAATCATTTTTATTATATCAGAATATTTGCAATATAGAACATTATTGCAATATTGCTGCAATGTTTTATGTACTTAAACTATATTAATTGATAATATTGTAACATAATCGCTGTATTGTATCTTTTTCTTGGAAAAAAAGAACAGCCTTTTTTCTTGACCAGATTCTTTGATAAAACATTTGGTGGAATTTAAGATATGAAATGTTGAGAAATGGTGCACTAGAACACAAACAAATAAAAAACTATGTATGCATCATAAAGAAAACAGAAAGTGGGATCATTTTAAGAGAACAAAGATTTAAATAATTTGGGTTAATTGTATTTTTTTCATTCTGTCCTTAAACAATACAGTTCTTAAACAAACTGTTTAGCTCAAGAAATATTTCAATCATTCTAGGCATAGGGCCCTAAGAAAACACTTCATGGAACATTAATAAGATATTAGACATTTGAAATGTCTAAGCACATTTCAAAAACAGTAATCATATTCAAAGCTGAGCAGAGATTATATCTCTCACACTTACAGAAGAGCAAAGCTTATTTTAGTTTTTCATTTTCAAGCTTCAAATTGTTCCATCCCATTTCTGTCCCAACCTGTGAATGTTTTAAATAATCAAACCCACAAAAATATTCCATATATTTTGTGAATGTTTTTGCAAGAATATTTTTAATTTTTTAAAATTGAATTGAGTTTTTTAATTGAGATTTTGAATATAAATAAACAACAAAGTCTTTTTCGTGTTGTCACAATCCCAACATAGTGATATTGGGAAAGGGGGTGGGAAATGGCTTCCTCACCCATTTCTTTGTTACAAACAGGTTTTGTTTCAATTTTGAGGTGTTTCTTAATTTCTGGTTAGGGGAGGCTAGCTTGGGACCATGATTAGACTTAGCACTGGGCCATAATCCTTCATCCTAAAGTAAATTGGAATTGTAGAGTTTCATCTTTGTTTTTCAAAGAAAAAAGCTTCTTTGGGGGGGGGGATTTCTTTGTGAATCACAAATTTGAGATCCTGTGATTTACTGAAAGCCATATCAGAAATGATATGTTTAATGAATGGCACTTTCAAAAATAAACTTGATATGCTTGTATATTTAGTTCTGTGTCTCTGCTTCCTTGTCTGCCTACAGAGAAACATATATGCACCTTCCCAGAAAATAGAAGAAAGCATCACTGAGCCTTGCTGAAGTGAATGCATTTGCCTGATGATACCAAATGCTAATTGAAAACATGATATTTATAATACATAGAACTAAGAGTTATTGAAAGAAAGTAAATCACAACTTGGTTGCTAGCTAGCATTCCGTGACACAAACAGCAGCTCCTGTAATGGTCCCAGCATAGTGCTGCATTTCCCAACTTTCATTTTACAAATGCTGAATGAAATTCAAGGAAATATGACTGAAGCGCAGCTGATCAAACACACCTGTTTGTCCATTTGTTCCACAAATATCAGATGACTATAGATCAAAGGATACAGATTACCAAGCTATGTAGAAATATTCAAGAGGACTCGGAGAAAGAAACATATATCTCAAACATTCTTTTTAGAACAGTCTTTCTCAAATCAGCTAGAGAAAGCAAAGTAACTTTTCAAGATGATTTAAAGTTTTTTTTAAAAAATGACTTCTTACTTAGATAGAAGAAGTTTCCAGGCAGGGACTTTTCATTTAAATTATTGTAAGTCAAATCAAGAACTTCCAGAGCTGGTAAAGAGCCAAATCCTCGTGGCAAGGTGTTGAGCCTGTTCATCCTAAGAATGAATGCAGGTTGTAAATTGGCATTATTTTTGATACATAAGAAACAGTGACATTTCACATGGTATATGTAGCCTGCATCAGCGTTACTATATTTTAAAATCCATATGGAGTGTCCTTTCAATAATATCTTTCAAAATCCCGAACAAGAAGCTAACAATACTGTAATAAAAAACCCTGATCAAACACATATACCAAAAGGCAGGAAGAATTATATAAAAAGTCAAATTAATAAATGGGCATCCTTAAAAAAAATCATGTGGCTTTGATAAACTTTCAAGATGGATGTTACCTCTTCTCAAGATCAGGAAATCAGAGTAGTTATGGGAATGTGCTTTAATTTAGGCAAGGTATTGTAATAGTAACCTTACATCTGTCAAAGCCACTCTCTACTTCAGTCTATACCTAATATAAATAAAGTAAAGCTCTTTCTCCTTTTTTTTGTAATATATTTTATTGATTTTTAAAAAAACATAAATCACTTAATAATTGGTGAACAGTGTGTTGTCTGAGCTACATTTGTAAAACAATCACTAACAACTGATTTCTATAATCCATAATCCATATAATAGTTTAGTTGATTTCCTCTTTTCCCAAAATATCCTCTTTTGCAAACATTGACTTAATACAATTCTTATCGTTTTGATAGATAACAGTTAAATATATATTTTTTCCCAATAGTCCTAAAAATAATAATCACATCAATATAATATTTCTTTTCTATCCAATCATTCTGGTTGCCTTATCATAGATCCTGTTACAGTCCTTATTTTAGTTTGTTTCTCCAATTAAATTCTAAATATTCTTACTGGTTAAGATTTTCTCAAAAATTAATTACATTTAAGAATTTAACTCTATTTTTCCATATGAACCATCTCACACTTTTACATTTCTTAAGGAATAGATAAAACAATGAAAAAAAAGAAAAGAGAGCAAGAGTAAAGAAACATAAAAAATAACATACTACTTAAAATATATATCCCTCCTAAGCTAATATATATTTATTTCCTAAATTTCTTATTCTTTTTATCCATAATTAAAAATATATTTAATCTTTAAATATTCCATTTAATACATCTAGTCATCTAGTCCTTTAACTCTTATTCAAAACATTTTTATCCATTATAATTTTCTTAAATTCGATCACATTTAAATATCTAAAACATTTCCTTTATTTAAGTCATTTCAACTTTTTTATATTACTCATATTAAGAAAAAGAACAAAAAAGGGAAAAAGCATACTATATTATATTTAGAGAATTTATCCCTCTTAGAGTGACATATATATTCCAAAACTTTTCTATTTCTTTAACCATATACAAACACGTTTCTTTTTTAAGTATTCTCTCTGGTAAGTCCCATCATCTATTTTCTTAGTTTCCACTTTAGTCTTTTTCTTTTGCCCAGTGTCTGTCTTAATCAATGTATTTTGCTGAATTAAAAAGTTTTTATGTATGTTCATAAATGTTACTGTATATATAAAAAGTAAATCAGGAAAAGTGTTTTTGTACGGGACTTCTGCCTTTCCATGTTTGTTGAAAATCTTTTTTCTTTTTCTTTCTCTCCTCTTCTCTTATCATTTCCTTTCTCTCCAATGTTCCTGACATCTCTACAGTCCATTTTATCCGATCTGTTTTCTTGTTCTCAGATTTATTGTGTAGTCTTAAGCGATAAGTTGTTTTTTCCAATTCTTGTGAATTTTTTCCACTAGGATTAAATCATGTTTCCTTGTTTTGTTAAGTTCCATCTTTAAGTCTCTATTCTCAATTCTATATCTATGTATCTGTTTTATCTGCTCCTTCTCTGTTGTTGTTTTCTGGGATTTTTTTTGTTGTAGAGTTAACTTGGAAATAGATTGATTTATATTTTCAAAGTTGTTTTAGATAACTTTGTGGTTTAAAGTCATTGTTGTTTGAATTAGTTGCAGTATACTATATATCTCCTCCTGTGACGTATTTATGTTTTCTTGATATGTTCTTTCTACATGTCTCTGATCCATGACAGCCAAGAATTTGAATTTTCCTCTTCCTTTCTTTTCTCTGTAAATAGCTTTAGAGTCCCAATTAGATAGATATTTGTAATCCAAATAGTTTAAAAAAGATTTTTTTTCTGAAATTTGTAATTCTCTCTTTGTCTACAGCCCAGATTTTTGTCTTTTTTGTCACAGCTGTTCTTTGTTGTTAAAGCTTTGAAGGTCACAGACACAGATTAGCTTTTCCCAGATTTTGCCAAGTCTTATATTAAAGTCATAGCTATCATAGTCTTCATCTGCCACTAGGTGTCAGCAACTATTTGTTTTTCAATTTCCAAAATGAACAATTATCTTTGAAATGAGAGTCTTAACCATTAAAACAATTTTAGATTTATCCAGATTTAAATTTTAAGTTTCAGGTTTTTTATTTATTTCACTTCCATATATTTTGATCCTCCATAAAAAGATTAAATTGCCGTTTCCATTAGTGTAAGGGTGGGGCAGAAATTCCCCTCCTTCCCTTTCGGAGATATTTTGCTTCTTGGGGATCTTTTCCAGGCAATTAAATGTAAAAGAGAAAAGAGAAGATCAAATTCCTCACTCAGTTTCAAGCACGCTGTTCACAGTTGTGCTGGTTAGTGCTTTGGGACTTCGGTTGCAAGTAGTTTGGGCTGGTTGATGCAATACGGCCAGCCTCTCTCCTGTCGGGTTAGGTTTTCCCCAAGTCAAACGGAATGGCTGCCGCTGTTCCAGAATCGCTGGAGCACCCTACTTTCTTCATTGCCTCTCCAGGGCGACTTAGACCCATTTAGGGTCCCCTAGTATGGTGAAATTAGCCATGGGAGTGCAGAGAATCTGCAAGCCCGCGACCGGTTGCTACCGCGCAAAACCGGAAGTCTTTCTCATGTTTACTACTCTCCCTGAGTTAGATATATGCAATTTTTATCTTATTTCCATTCTGGGAAACTATAAGGTATCTACAGTATTAACACACAATTTTGTTTTTAGATTGATACAAAATGTTGAATGCTTTGCTATTTGAAATATTTTTTATTCCTGCATTTATTTCAGGATAAAACTGCTAGAACATAAATAATATTTGGTAAATATTTTTCAAAACAACTAACCAGTGAATCATTTTATTCAACTTTATCTTATAAAGCAGCCTCTTCCAATCTGGTACCTTTTATATTGTTGAGATTATACTTTTCAGAATTCCCAGCCATATTTGATTGGGAAATAACTGATCACAACTGCTACTCACCCAAGATTTAAGTGTTTGAGCTTCTGAAGGCTGCTGATCTGAGTTGGCAGCTCCTCAATCTGATTGTTGAAAAAATTGAGTACTTCTAAATTCCTCAGATCTGCAATATTTGGAGACACAGCTGCAAAGAGAAAGAAAATACCCTCAAAGCAAGGTAGGACACAGAAATCACATCAGCCCAGTTCAATGAATGGAAATTTTGTTTAAACCATATAGCATATACACAGGCAATATCAAAATCAGTTGATATTAGATATGTTGTCATTTTAAGGGAAAATATACCCTTAAAAATATCTTTTCTTTGGATTGCTAACAGCTTCTGAAACTTGGCTTCACCTGTAGGTCCTCAAGGGATTTTTGCATACAATTTGGCAGAAGAAATAATAGACCATCCCCACTTGTACTTAACCGCATAAACATGATCTGGCAGCAACTTCTTTCAGCATAGTATTATATCCAGTTTCCTCCCAGTCATAAGACAGTTTTAAACCATCATTAGTTGCATCGGTTTTATTTTCAGTACTTTTATACCACTTGGCTCAATCATGATTTATGAGTTCATATCTATTATACTACTAAAACTTTCCTGTTTCTCTGTTTGTAACCTTCAATTACCTGAACTTTTGAATCATAGCAATTTTTTAATCAAAGTATCTAAAATGCAGTAACTTAAAGAATGTGTATACAATCTGGGACCTTTATTCCTGTGGATTTGAAATTTCAAGCATTTTCAGATCAATTGTATTTGCAAAGCTGTGATCATTACAATACTGTTGCAATGTGCCACAGTCACACGGTCATCATTTTCAACACTCCCTGCCAGTTTCCCACAATCAATGACAAAATGGAAGCCAGCAGGAAGTCAGAAATTACTCCAATCCCATTGCATTTTTGCCCACCCTTGGTCATTCTGTTAATCTGTTTAGGTAATTAAACATCTCTGAAAGGAGATTATGGTTTTCTAACAAAACATAAAAATACAGACACGGCAAGAGAATACAGAATAAAACAGGATAAAAAGAAAAATATTTGTTCTCAGAATCGGCAATTCTACTATATTCTGAATGCTTGTTCTAACAAAATAGTTTTCACTAATTTGCTGAAGACTGGAAGTGGGGGAGGGTGGGGGGCGGGCAGGACAAGATATTTTAAAGCATGTGGATTGTACTTCAGGCCCAGGCTTCCTGAATTCTTGTATGGAGGAGATCTTCAGCATCCCCTTTCTGCAGGCATACAAGGATTGACAAGATTCTACCTGAGGCACCCAGAAACATGTTGCAGTGATCTAGTCATGTGGTGATGAGGGTGTGAGTCTCAGTCACCAAGACTTCTTAGTCTTGAGCTATAGATCTCAGCTAATATAGATAACAAATATGAAGCTAATATTAGTGAGTAAAAAATTGAATTTTTTAAATTCTAAAAGAATTTTAGACCTTAGCATGATGTTATGGTTCCGGCTAATGAAACACTTCAAAGAACTTCCAGGCATTGATTTTCTTAAAAGTAATTGTTACAAAATGTCGACACAGGCACAACGAGTTGATGTTAAGGTCTAAAATTCTCTTCCTCTGAGCAATTAATTTACCAGCATGTTCCCTCCCTAAATTTGCTGTCATATATCATGCTCTCCTATCAGGTGGAAGGGCAGAGGTTCTCTTCCGGTCTCTTCCCGCCCGTAGTCCTATCTTTCTCCTCCCCACCACCATCAACTGAATTAACTCTAAAAATACCAGACAGTTCTGCATATTTTGTCAAAGCAAGAATATACAGTATTTGCAGCATTGACATCTGATGGTTTTAAGTCTTACTCAGATCATACTTTGGGACAGCTATCATTTTAAAAGAGCAGTGTATAACTCTCTTGTAGTCAAGGATTTAACCTTTAAAAATAGCAGAGGCAACCCTACACCTAATCCCATTAATTTTCAACAGAAGCTTAATCAACTTGGACATTTACTTCTGCAACATTTAAAACAATAAATTGGTAGCACCTATAAGAGGAAATCTACGGGCATGCACTCTTGCAGCCTCCAGCTATGCACCTCTGTTGTGACTAACATGCTTCCCAAAACTCTTAATGTCCTGGCAGGTTATAGCTTCATGATGAATGAACAATGTTTAGGAACAAGCACCTGTACTGCATTCTTTACTTGGTAGCTGTTATTTCATCAAAGTATATAAAGAAAACAACTCTATTCTATCATCTTTTGAAAGACCAATTGCCTTTGGCTTACTCTTAAGTGCTATCAGTTATCCTGCTCCATCAAACTACCAGAACTACTTATATCTCATCTGCTGTTTTAAGAACTGGAGCTTTAGCATGCTTTTTATTTCCTTTTACTTTTGGTTTTTCAGAATTTAAACTTTATTTCTCCTGCATGGCTATTCAAAATGATATGCATTTGGTCTAAATTTAAATTTAAAATCCAGTTAAAACTTAATCTTTATTTAAACTTTGGCTATCGAAATAAATAACACACTGATCAAGCCAGACCACTTTTGAGGCAATTCCGAGGAGGATCCTATTATGATCAATAATTAAAAAAAGGTTACATCAGATTAGCAACAAATCAATGTCTAGCTATTATTTAGAAATATAAAAAGCCCTGATGCATGATGTGAATACTACAGTTCAGATAAAGATTTAAACTCCATTGATTTAATTTTCTCTTTTATTTATTTAAGCAAAATCAAAGCAAGCAAATAATATTTATGGATTGGTAGGTGATCACATCTGATAAAGCCTTTTCTTGTGTTCTCATATTTCAGAATTCTAATAGAAGTATATTTGGATAAATTGTGGAAGTAGCAGCAGATTACAGAATCTGAGTGATCTTGTCTTGAAGCAGAGCCCATGCAATGCTGGATCTGAGTAATACCTTGATGGAAAACTTCCAGAGAATATCAAGCTGTAGACTAAGGAAAGTTAAAAAAACATCCTGGAGAGAACTAGTTGTTCTATATAGACATGAGACGTTTAACTCAATTTGAAGGAGATCTTACTTTGTTTTGGGGAAAATATCTGAAAGCATAAAAATGCATATATTCTTTTGCTAGAATTTCTGCATTGCAGAATATGAGATTTCCATTTGCTGGAATTATCACATAAAGTGTTGAAAGGTAAATTACAACTACACTCTGATAAAATCCCCACCCATATCACTGAAGACCTAGGGGATCTGGCCAAAGATTTTTTTCTGCCTTCTGGCTAAGGTCATAAGAAATGAAGCAATAGTGTTATGCATTGTTATTCCTTGCCATTACTTGATCAACCAGTATTTAAGACATACTGATGTTGATTCTGGAGGCAATATACAACATTAAAAAAATAATTGCTATTGATAATCTAACCTTTCTTGAATTTGCCTTTTAAAAACCATTACACTTTTACCATCATTATATCTATGTCAGTAAATGTTATACTGCCCCCCAAAAATCTTTTCACATTAATCTCATTCAATAGACATACATTTTAATATTGTGAAAAAAAGAAAAATATTCTCTGTCTACAATTATCACATCATTCTTATTTGATTAAATTCTACCAAGACAGAACTGTTTGTATTTAGTAGACAGGGCAAGAGGGCAAGGTGATTACATTGGTCCTTAAAGTAACTCTGGAGAGGGACAAAAAGGATTTGATTCATCTCTTGGAGGTTCTTTTGGACTTTTCCACAAAAAGCAGGTGGAAGCTGTGGTCAGGGGAGATTTTGCCCATCATTGGCTGATCTCCTTACATCAGACATGTCAAACTCGTGACATCATGTGACGTCGCGCAACGTATCGGGACAGTTTGGGGCAAGTTTGCCGGCAATGGGGTGGGTGCGGCTTCTGGATAACGTGTCCAGCCCGCGGGCCGACAGTTTGACACCCCTGCCTTACATGAATCAAAATTACCCAGCAACAATAGCTCATCTCTTCACTTGGTTGTGCTACATCATTGTTGTGGGTTCTTCTTTTTTGAGAAATTTGAGGCATGGACGAGATGGAATGGTTTCTTAGGAGTTTTACTCACATGAAATTTCTCTCTCAGAGATATAGAAGGCCTAACCCTATTGTTATTTCCTAAACAAAAAAGTGCTGTCTCAGTGAGTGTTTAGCTCTTAGGGTAATTTGAGTATTAGGGCATCTTTGTGAGCTTTTTTTTTTAATTTAATCGTTTTGTATGTAAGGTAAGTCTGGGCTGTACTATTTTTTCTTTGTATAATTCTGATGTATCCTATTTAGAATCTCTATTGATTAGGACAGACTATAGGAGACAGACAGATAGACAGAAGAAAGATAGACATACATTAGAACAGGAAATTTATAAACCACTGAGATCCAATTTTTTAGAAATTGTCTAACATAATTATATTACACATTAACAGGCACAACACAAGCAATCTAGCCAAGATTACATCCAAGGGAAAATTAGATACAATTCTAAACTTGAAATTCCTTGCACATAAAAACATAATTAGTGTGGGCACAATCAATTTAATTGAGGCAATGATGTATAATTTTTTTTTAAAACCTCTACTATGTTCCCAAAGAAAGGTCCATCTCATGCTACTAGCTGTTTTGCTCGCACAGCTAGTAGCAGTTTCAATGGGGATATTTTTTTGCTATTCTATGAATCATGACAAAGGAGAAAAGCATTAATCTAAGTCTTGTTTTATATCATCCTGGGAAATAAAATATAATTTAGAAATCTTTTAAATAAATAAAATACAATGACCCATATATATTGTCTGTAATCTGTGCCAGGAATATAAAGAGAAAACGGAAAAGGCTCTGAGAAACATTTTGCTGCAGTCGAAGAACAAAATAAACAAAAAAGCTGCACCTTTCTTGGTTTCTGCAGATGCTGGTCTTTTTGATAAGATAAAGGATTATTTCACACAATCAGTCTAATTTGTTAATCTCTGGATACATTCTCTGAACTGAATCTTCCATATTAAGCTACTTTAGTTTACATCAAAAGTTTAAGCCATTTTCCCCAAATAAAAACTATGGTTCCAAGAAATTCCGGATCTCCTATCTTTTCGCCGCGCCCTCAAGACATGGCTTTTTCAGCAAGCGGGTCTGGCCTAGGGAGAATTTTAAATAGGGACAATTTTAATTAGAATTTTAATGGTA